TTTAAGCACCAAAAAAGTATGAAACCAAAATTAATTACTTTAAACATCGATGCTTTCGGGTTTCGGCGGAATTCCTGATATTGTGTGTACACTGCGGAATAAATCAGATATACGACTGAACTTAAGGCTGAAAATATTGAGATTTACTATGAAAAAAAAATTGTACGGATCGCTTCATATTTCTTGTTCATGTCTGCAGCTTTGCTAACTGAAATTTTAGATCGATTGCGTCTTTGCAGCTACTCCGACAATCGCCACGGATTGCATTATAATTTATACTACGTCAATATGATAAAACCATAGATATATTACAAGATATATTACATAGATATATTATTATATATAGTATATTACAAATTTTTTTTATCAAGTTATTTGTTGTTTGAGATTTGATCATTAAGATAATGAATTGAGGTATAACAATAAACCAAAATAGTTTATAATTTGAAAATTTAAATTACAACAATATATAAAGTACCAATTATTTTAATTTTTAATTTAATAATTAATAAATTTGGTGTTTAAATATTCGAAGCACAAGCATTTTTTTTTATGAGTTATTAAATAAAAATCTTATTGTAAATAAATGTGATTATTACTTTTTAGATTTAACATAAAGGTATTCAGTGTCTAATGCATCACATTTACCGTATACCGACTATACCAACTATAGTTTGTAAAATTCCAAGTTAAATCTTTTCTCTGAATACTGTCGAGCACGAAATGTAGTAATTAATATTTTATGTATTAATTTTGAGTGCACTGGTTACGTATATTTTAAGCTATTCGAGAATATTTAAAATTTAAAATGTCTTTATTTAGTAGTACATCTAACTTTAAAGTTTAAATGCTCATTAAAAAAATCGTTTCTATGTATTTTAAATATTTTTCAACTACCTAATATTGTAGATATCTATATCAAGAGCATTTTATTGAATTTACAAGCTTTTTTGCCTAACAAATACAATTTTATTAACAATTATAGAAAAACAAAACTATAAATAAACTAAAAAAGTTCAAAATTCAAATTGTTTGTAAACAGCTCAAAACGAGTACATCAAAAGTATATGAATTGAAAATATAAACGAATTGTGTGAATTTTAAATAACTGCAATTATTGGGTTTTCAACTATAAAAAATAAGTAAAAATCACTATATGAGAAATGGAGTGAATATTCAATGTTGTCAAAATGTCAACTTCAAATGCTCATAAAAATTTAATTTGACTTTCCGGTAAAATTTTTTTTTTGATAAAGGTAGACAAACTCTTAAGGAATCTTGTATTGAGTTTTAAAAACTTTGATATAAAACGAAAAATGTTTATGAATTTCGAACTCAAAATATTATACTAATTTTGTCAAAATTCAAAATTTTAACGCTTATAAAAATGTGTTGACAAAATTGTATGGTTTATAGAAAACGGCGTTATAAATATTCAGTAAAAATGTCATGTATATCCAAGGTATTTTTTTTTTTTTGAGAGAGTTACATCAAAACCAATATCGATTTGGTCGAAACCGGGTTTCTGTAAAAATTCATTTTTTTTCCTTAATTTTTTGTTTGTTTTTTCTACCGCTTTTGAAAACTATTGAGAATTGTTTTATTTGAACCCCTCGAAGTACCGATACTATTCACATTTCTAAAAGAAAAGATGCTGTTCAAGAAAATCGAAGCACTTTTACTCTCCCAAAATAACGTGAAGACAGGAACAAAATAACTTTAAAAAATTAATTAATTCATCGCTCCGCTCGAAATCTTAAAGAAGTTAAAGAGTTAAAATTGAAATAACTTTAATTTTTTAACTCGTACACACCTAGGTTTGAATAACTACAAAATTTTAGGATATTTGAACGCCTGTGTCTATATTATATTACACAATGTTATATAAATGTACCTATTACCTATGCTATTATAAAAATATATTTTTCATAATCACTCGTACGGGGTAATGACTGTTTAGGATAGTGAGTTTACCACTCTGTGAACATTTTTGTTTTTTAGATACAACTATAATATATAATAGAACAATGAAATATATATAACCCTAAATTATTAGTGTCCTGCTACTGCTAACTTTGGATTTAAATTAAACCATATAATGTATGTCTACTTCAAATACTTATAAATAGGTTATAATTATTAAATTACCCTACGATCAGCGAGCAGAAAAACGACGACAACTAGCGGCATTTGTATATTATTTGATCTTTTGTATTTTATGGATTTAAACAGAAATAAAATATGTCCCTATACATAGGGGTAGCATATTATTCATGAAATTAAATTTTTATTTGAAGTATACACAATCAATTTAAGCACCAAAAAAGTATGAAACTAAAATTAATTACTTTAAACATCGACGCTTTCGGGCTTCGGCAGAATTCCAGATATTGTATGTGCACTGCAGAATAAATCAGATATACGACTGAACTTAAGTCTGAAAATATTGAGATTTATTAGGAAAAAAAAACGTACGGATCGCTTCATGTTTCTTGTTCATGTCTGCAGCTTTGCTAACTGAAATTTTAGATCGATTGCGTCTTTGCAACTACTTCGACAATCGCCACGGATTGCATCATAATTTATACTACGTCAATAAGATAAAACCATAGATATAAAGTATATTACAAAATTGTATATCAAGGAGGTCCGTGCTTGAGATTTGATCATTAAGATAATGAAATGAGGTATAACAAATATCAAAATAGTTTATAATTTTAAAATTTAAATTACAACAATATATAAAGTACCTATTATTTTAATAATTAATTAAGGTGGTGTTTAAATATTCGAAGCACAAGCATATTTTTATGAGTTATTAAATAAAAGTCTTATTGTGAATAAATGTGATTACTACTTTTTAGATTTAACATAAAGGTATTCAGTGCCTAATGCATCACATTTACCGTATACCGACTATAAAACTATAGTTTGTAAAATTCCAAGTCAAATTTTTTCTCTGAATACTGTCGAGCACGAAATTAATAATTATTATTTTTTGTATTCATTTTGAGTGCATTGGTTAGGTACATTTTAAGCTATTCGAGATTTTTTAAAATTTAAAATTTCTTTATTTAATTTCCGATAGATATTCAATAATCAGCAGAGCGACTTTCCCAGCTTTATAAAATAATTTTATGTTTGATGTACGACGGCGTCACTTTGATTCGCGGTTCGACCACAAGCAGAGGGCATAGTAATATTCATATATTTCTCAACATTTATATAAACTAAAAATAAAAATTGTTGAATTTTGATGGACACAAGAACTCTCGTGTACTGTACTACTGTAGTATGACTAGTATGTACAACACAATTTATATCTATTTAATTGTATAAATATGTTATTATTCTGCGACCTGGATGTGCCGTCGTCGTTTGTGCTATAAGCGTATTTTTTTGTGTTGCGCGCTAGGGAACAAAAAATATGCCCCTACTTTACCCGGGTAGCAAATTGTCTGTGACAATAAATTTTAATTTTGAGACTAAAAAGTAAAATATGTAAGCCCCAAAAGAATAGGTAATCAAACTTACGTATACTCTTCGTATATCGACTGTCCGGGGAATATATAGCTGCAAGGACATATCTGGAGTGCAGACGCAATATCGAGGAACTTCTTTCTTCATCTAAACTCGAACTGAAAAAATCGAGATTTTTCATAAAAATTACTTGAGTAGAATGAAATATGTGAGCAAATGTTTATTGTTGCCTTACACATTTCTCTTTCGTTCAATGAAATTATTAGAATTGTGAATCGTCTCCGACGAGTGACGACGATCGGATTTTGCCATAGGCCCATAGATGATAGATATAATATAATATGTTGTTATCAGTTTTCGAGTTTTTGAATTCTTTGGATGACACGATACATTTTTTATTTCAGATTCCGAAACATAATATCATGCGGAGTGTTTAAATCTAAACAATTCAGAACACGGACCTCTGCGTATAGATATATAAATGCGTATATAAATGCTCATAAAAATGTAATTTGACTTTCCGGTATACATTCTATTTGTTGCTAAAAGTAGAAAAACTTATAAGGAATGTTTTATTACATTTTAAAATCTTAGTTTTAAAAAGAATATTTTTTATGAATTTCTAATTCAAAATAATTTGCACATTTTTGTGATAATATTTTGTCTAAAGTCGAACATTAAATGATTAAAAAAAAATTGTGGCTATGTGTTTGTAATATTATAAATGTATATTAATAAAATAAAATAAAATAATAAAATATTTTTCAACTGCTATTGCAACAATATATTAGGAGCCTCGTAGGTTGGGTTAGGTTATTATTTTTTTTATTATTTTTAAATACAATTTAGATACAACAATTGTTATGAATAAAATTCATGTTATTTTTTTAATAGTATAGGTATTAGGTAGGTACTATCCTAAAAATGTGGACTAATTTAGTAGTATAAACAGTTAAAATATTTTTTGTCACCCCCTGCCAAGAGGGTCTAGTACCGCCTATGCTATTACCTATAAAGTACATAAAACAAATTTTTTTTATTAATTATTTAAAAAATATTTTTTAACAACTAGCTGGGGTTTTACCCTGTCTGCGACTGAGCCGTCAGTCGATTAGCTATTATTAACATTCATATTTATTTTTTATAGATTAATATAGTTTATTATTATAAATTTGTCAGAGCGCGCCACTCTTGGTTTTTAATTTTTTTTTAAAACAATGAGTTTCATTTTTGTTTATATACATTGAATATTACTCTGTTAGAGCGCGTTACTAGTAAAAACCTTGAATCTTTACATTTTGTGGCCGGGAAGTATATTTTGTGGTTTTAATTTAAATGCTGACAACTGACAAGCGAATCGGACGAGTAGTTTTAAAGATTACGAAGGCGGAAAAAAGCGACATTCATTTTTATTTATACAAATATATAGATATACATATTCTAATTATAATAACAAAAATAATAAAAATAATAATAATCATACAAGTTGCGTATTTGTCATTACATTAGCTTTATAAAAATTACAAACTGTCAGTATTGTCACTCGAAGTATCACCAGTCCCGCCATTAAATGCACGCGTAAAGTCATTTTCCAAAAAGTCGTCAATCAAACTGTCAATTTCCCAGAATTTACTTTCTTCTTTGATAGCGTGATCATCAAAACAGCGCCAATTTTCCTCTGTGACCGCTTCAACACCTTCAATCAGCAACTGTTTCACGTCGTTTAATTTGAAAGTGGTATTTCTATTTTTCACATATCCTTTAACCTTGGACCATGCTAGCTCTATCGGATTCAACTCGTAATGGTAAGGCGGAAGTCGTAATACAATTTTATTTTCTGCCTTAGCTACTTCGTCAACAACATATTTTTCAAATTCTGGTTTATGTTTTCGCACTAGATTCATTAGCTCTGCTTTAGCATATGAATTGTCAACTGGTATGTTTTTCTGTTTGAGCCATTCCATAATATCCTGCTTTTTCCACGATGATACAGGAATTTTTTCTTCCGTCATGGAATGGTGAGGAGTGCTATCCATTATTATTACTGAATTGTCATCCAATAACGGCAAAATATGTGTAAACCATTTTAAAAAACTGTCACCATTCATTTCATGATGGTAATCACGACAATTAGTTTCAGATTCATAACATAGTAGACCTCCATTAACAAAACCTTTTCGTGACCCGATATGTGCAACGATGAGGCGTTTGCCTTTTTCTGTTGGGTTTTTTGCACCTGTTGTCAGTTTTTCTTGGTATGCGTCCTTGTTTGGTTTTATGGTATTGTCTACAAGTACTTTTTGTGAACAGTCATCTGCATTGCACCAAGTTTCATCCAAATAATACAATGTTCGTCCTTCTTCTCGGTATGCTTTAATACTTCGCAAGTAATTTCGACGCCATACTATTAAATCTTTTCTTTCTGTTAAATAACCATTTCGTTTTCTCTTCGTGTATTCAAAATTTAGTTCTTTAAGAAGTGCGTACATGGTTGTCCGTTTTATTGTAGGTAAACTGTCATCTTCAGAAACAGCAATCACGATTTTATTCAACGTTGGTGGGTCACGGTTTCGCCAAAATGTATGAACTATTTGTCGAATGGCATTTTTATCAAAATCTTCCATGCGGTTAAATATTTTTGGTCTGATTTTGTTCATATTAGGAGACGATACGGTTTTTCGGGTTTTATATTCTGAAATAATTTTTTCAATGCTATTTTTTCCTAATCCAGTTTCACTCATTAATTCTCTTATTAACTGTTTGAATAATATGTTGGGTTCATTTGCCTTCTTTGTTTTATACAGATCTATAACCAGTCTTTTTTGCTTGCTATGAATAACCTTTATGAAATCAGAAAATATTATTTTATACTGTTTTCATAGTAGAAAAAAAAAATCAAAAGATAAAAAAACCATGAAAATAAAAACCAAAATTATAGATATAAGTTTTAACTTTCTAATTAAACATTAATTAAATCAATGATCTAATTTACCAGGTATCCTTTGGTCAGATATACTCGTACTCGAATCATGTAATTAATAAATAATAGGAAATAAATATATACAGGAACAAATTAAAACAATTCAAAACAATTGTATTATATGATGATTAGGTATGTTTTAAGTACAGAGGTGTGGAGAACTGGAGAAAAGCAGAGCAGTTTACAGAACTCTTTTTACTACATCTCCATGTATATTTTTTCCCCGCATGTTTCATAACGAACATTTTGTCTTTAAATGTTACTTTGTCTTTTCCTTTGTTAAAGGTACGTAATCATTCCCATAATTAAACGGAAAAAAACTTGAAAATGACAATTTAAAAGTTTTAAGCCACTTGAACACGACAATTCAATGACGTTAGTTTGATTTCCAATATTATACAACACTGAGTAATAACTCAATAATCTATATAATAACTAGCCACTGCATACTAGGTCATACCTGTGTCTTATACAATAAAGTGATGCAAGTGTGCCTGTATGATCTTAACAGTATAAATAATAAGTCAATTTGTAATGAATAACGTAGGCATCTTTTATCATAATGGTAGTTCTATGTCTCTATATAGTAAATTTCGGCGAATCCCAATCGGCTCCCGCTGAAAAAGGTTTTACGAACAGGTAAATTCCCTAACGACTGACGATAATATCAGTATACCGATTTACCGATTACCACCGGTATACTGTGTACCGTTGTATAATTTAAATTTAACCAAAAATATCGGACACATTAATAATATCGAAAATACTGAAACATTGAAAATATTATCAATACCGAAACTAATTATACGAGTTCATATATATTATACGTGCCCGTACAAAAAGCAGGAGCTCACTCAAAATATAATTTAAGAATTTTCACAGAATTTAATAACAAACATAGATTTTATACCCAAAATTGTGCGTAAAAAATTTACCCAATGTATAATTTTTTTTATATTTTTACTTATACATATATATATTATATACAACCGAAGCTGTTTGGGAATTTACTTAATCTAATAGCATTTTTGAAGGGAGCCGTTTGGGAATTGACCTTTTTGTAAAATGTGAGCTGAATGGGCTACGTCCGTAAATTTACGATATAAGATATAAGATTGTAATTGAATGGTATTAACTAAATTAGTTCAATGCCTACTCCCAAAACAAAGTACAACAAAGTTTTTATATATTTTTTAGTACAAAAAAAATATGATTTTATAAAAATATTTTCTTCAATTATTACAAATTCAGTTACGAGGGTATTCAACAGATAGAATACCTGGGTGGTTGGATTAGTGGTCTAAATTATTAATTCAGAAGTTAAAACTAATAAAATATGACTTCATTTACAAAATACACAATTTTGGTTTTTTTTTCGTGATTCGTTTTATGTATACACAATGAATATTTAAAAAAAAAAATGATTACCTTGCCACTTTTATTTTTTTTAACAGGTGTGACTGGTAGCGCATCAGACATTTTGAAAAATATTTACACTAATACACTTCTTAAACAAATTATGTAGACTGTCGTACCTAATATCGTAATATCGTTGGCCGGGAGAACTGTAGTGGATACGAAATGCGCAATTGAAATCACTACAAAAAGCCATGACTCTGCATACATGGCCTGAATTCTGAGCAGCTGACGGTCGCTAGGTAGCGCCAGTCGATTCGAATAAATTTAGTGGGGATCAGTGGCGTGTAACATAGGGTCCAAGTGTTGCTCAGGCAATACCTTAAATATGGGTGGGTGCGTATTGATAGAAGAAAAATAGGACATTTAAGAAGTCGATATAACAGTATAATAAGGGGTAGGTTTCCTAAAATTATTTATAATTTATTTAATATATAATTTGTAAAATAAAATAATTTATACTTAGTCAATCCCCAGTATAATGCTACTTTGGATTCTTTTTCCAGTGAGCGGATTTTTTTGGGGGATTTTTTTCCCGGTAATTTTTTTTTCCGCAATTTCTCTGTAGGGATCTTTTTCTGGAATTCTTTTATACCAATATTACTAATGTATAATATATGAACGTGACATCGGGGCTTCGTAATCTCCTTATTGTTAGGTTCCAGCCACACATTGGTATAACATAGTGTAGGTACACCCAGTGAAGGTCGCAGCCATAAATATATTACTATATATATCTTTAGATCTCGAAAAAAAAGAAGGAAAAATACATATTTTAATGTAGAACATAAAAACATCATGGATGCAGTATAATATACTTCGTTCTGATGGCATGCGTGTGCACGTGTGCGTGTCTTAGCTGGTCAGAAGGATTGGAGTGCGTTTGGAGAACACCAAAATCGAGGCTCGTCAATATCATTGATACTAGTTCGAAAAATGTAATAGTTTCGTTGTATTTTCAATTACTGCTGTATTTAGGAGTTTTGGATATTTATCAATGGTCCGAATATCCAATGAAGACATATTATAGACACATATTTAACAAGAGACGAGGAACAAAAGACCATGGAAAAATATTGAATATAAACGTGAACACATGCATACTCTACTTCTAATTAGTAATTACTGTGTGGTGTGTACCTATAACAAAATATAATATATTATAATGAAAATAATGTCATAAATAATTATCATATGCACATTTTGTATAAATGTAGTATGTATTATGTATATACCTAAGATCCTATACTTATACCCCTAATGTTTTTTGACTTATAAATTATGACACTGTGTATTATACTATTATGTATAGATGAGTTAATATTTGTAGTTACATTTTTATAACTATTACAAGTTGTTTTTTTATATATAATTAATACTTAAGCATGAGACATATTCAGAAATGAAATAATTTATATTTGAAACTTTTCATTGAATAAATAAGTAAAAAAAAATTTAATTGAGTATTCGCATATACAATTTTCTATATTGGCTATAATCATTTATGAATTATTAATTACTAATTAGGAGTAGAGTATTCATGTGTTCACATTTATATTTAATTTTTTTCTGGGCTTTTTTTTCGTGGGCTTTTTTCCGCCTACCATTTAACTAACTGCAAATAACACTTTAACAATTGCTAATAACTAATGGAGAGGACTAAATAATAGTAAGACAATGTTCTCATCATTATTATTTTACAAAATAAAAGTATCGGTTTCTGTGAAACTTTGGTATTAAAATTAATTTAAATAAGGGTCTGCAGTTTCCAATATTCAAAGGGGTGCGGTTCCAGAACTGGTTCTTTTCGGTAAGGCTCCAGTCCCTGTATTAAATAATAGTTAGTTTTAAATTATATTTTTTATGTTAATGCATTATTCTGTTATTAAGTCAAATTATCATCATTTGTATAAATTATAACAATATGATCCTTGATCATCAGCTATTAGCTGGGGACTTTTTCTAAGATCATGACGATTTTTTGTTTTTATACATATATTAAACATGAAATAATGTTTAGTGGTAAAAATATTTTTCTCTCCATCTTCGATAGACAAAACAAACCATTTTAATTTATAATTTTATTCCATTTACAACCATACCTACAAGCCCGTTTATATAGCTGCCTACCTGGCCACGCAGATGGTGTTCGAATGTGAGGCGACTTGACGACGCCGGTCGAGCGTTGATCACGTCTTTGGTTCTTACTCGATAACAATCGCTGTATAAAATAAAATGTAACCAGACAACATTGTTGTTTCCATTTTATATAGACACACACAATTTATATAGTATGTCTCCATGTAGAGGAACGTTTGCTTATTTCTAAAGATCTTTCCCGGCCCGACTTTCCGACGCCTATGGCCTTAAACCTTCGTCAAGATTCAATAGGTCATTTTAAAATATATTATCATAGTGTGTACCAGAACCATTATAGGGGTGTATAATAATAATAATAATAATAATAACATCGCCCACACTACAAGGTCGACAATCTTATATTCTTATCGAAAAAGACAAAATATTTTCAAAAAAAACATCTGCCGAAAAACCCACCCACGGCACCGACTTTAATATGAGCACAATAGCAAGTAGATCGAAAAGAACCGGCCATCAGTGATAAATAGGTAATATTATTTAGAAGGGTAGAAACGATGATTTCTCTTTTAGGTATCGTATAGAACTATAGAATAATGGGAGCCCAGAAGTTTCTGTGTATTTTTTTCCACCATTTGTGCTCACAATAATACAATATTAATTTACCTTGACCGGTCAGGAGGACGATTTTAAAGGGGTCACTATTGTGCCGAATTCCAAGTATTCTGGTACTTATACATATATATGCACATTGTACATCATTTCACTAGGCTAGCAGACCTACCGTGCCTTAAATAACTTGTACTAAATAATTTTTAATCATATATTTACGCGCTGAACTCACACAATTATATTTGTTTAGATATTAAATAAAAACAACCTCCTTAAAAAAATATGGCTACTTGCCTGATTTACGGTTTATACTGCCAACTGAATCGCAGATAATTTATTATGTTATATGAAGTTAGTTTTTTTGCCTTTTGTCTAATTTATTTTTTTTGTTACCTTCTAGTTAAGCTCCGACCACGGAATGATGAAGCTAGTAATAGACACTTACACATGACATTTTAATCATAGTTATATGACCTCAATAACGAACACAGAATGGATTAAGATATTAAAGTTGGTATGATAGGTAACTGAAATAATACTAATTTGATATTACTCGAATGCCCGAAAATATATGCCCATGACAATCGTATCGTAAAGACATAATATGTTTTTTTATTATGTATTAGCTGGATAAATGGTATAATAAATACTCCGGCGTTGCCCATGACAAACTGACAAAGATTCATTTTTTTCTTTATAAATAAATTAATAAAAAAATATATGCCATATTTTTACATTATACTAATTATAATAGTACCTAATATAATATGTATTGTAACCATTTAAATAAAAAAATATATAATTATTCGCGAGCTATCTTTTACTTAACTATAGGGGTTGAAATGATTAGCTATAAGCAGTACAAACACCCTTCAAGTTTAAGGAATCGATTGTAATATTTTTCATTGAAGACGGTCCAACATTTGTTGAGTCTATTAACTTAAGTTAAATCGATATCCGAATGTATTTCACCTGTTTTCGGCCTTGAAAAAAACGAGAAAATATAAAATATAATAATTATTCCTATTCTTTTATTGTTATGTGTTTGTTTTGTGCTGCATGTGTGTTATTCCGCATTATTTCAACATCCGAAGAGACCAAATTTTTCAATTTTCGGGTATAATGTGTGTATGTAATATGTAAGTATACATTATAATATAGATGGCGGCAGGGTGGTGCTCGGGGATACACTGGATTGGAGTGTTCTCTCGATAGACCGACTATGTTGTATGTTTAGTTATAATATCGTCGAGAATTCCCTCCATTTGAGTACAATCTTCAGGGACAGCGCCACCTGTAGCGCCACCTGTAGCTCAGACGATTGTGTGGAGGGCGCGTGGGTCTGTGAGGCGACCACACTCGCTTCACGACTCACGGCAGTACAACATTAAGTATTTTATAGTTTTTGACTTAGCATATTGAAAAGTTATAGACGTTATAGTTATTACAAATACAAATTTTGTTATACCACGGTGCAGAGAAGACATCTTCTCGGCACCGTGGGTCAGACGTTCTCGGGCAATGAGGTCCAATCACCAACCAATCCAAGCCGGAGCCAACCGACAATCTGTAGCTGCATACAACTTCGGCATCTTCGTGGTATGTTATATATTTTTCATAGTTTTGCACGCCATAAATTATTGATATTATTTTTACCCCGATTTCACATATTTCATATAATACGTAACTATCTTGATATTGTTTTTTCATTCGCTATTATCGATCGCGTTTGCAGACTATTGTTTTTGAGGGCTAAATATTTTTTTTGTAATTTGCTATCAAACTTCCATTAAATGAACAGATTTTAACAAAAATCCACCTCACACCATACATTTTTGTTATTCTTCATCCTATAAATATAATATGTTTCTTCACCTCACTCGATGTCCCAATTTTTTTATTTCATCCATTACAAATTAACATTAAATAATATTTTACTTTTACTCTTTTACTTTTTGTATATTTTGTTCTCCTTGCATTTATTTTATGCATTTAATCCATTTCGTGCTCGTTACTGTGGCCGTCCGGTCAACGATCGAGGCTTTGAGATTTGAACCATATAGCCATAGTAGTAGCAGTGTAGTTTTAATAGTGATGAATAATGGTGGACTGAGTATATTTAATAATAAGTAGCATCGTTTTCGTGCATTAATGAACTGTGTTCATACTATAGGCGTAGAATGTTGATTTGTTTTCTTATAGTATCGGCGATCGTTATAGGTGATATCGACAGTATTTCAAATTAACATTTTATTAATATTATTATTTAGAGCTGAATATTGTTTTTTTCGTGAGCTGATGGAAACGATTATTTTACTAAGCTGCTAGTTACACAGATTGAATGTTAAAATTGCTTCTACCGTAAATTACATTTCACTGTTATACACCCATTAATACGTGCTTGTCCTGAACACTAAATAAATGAACAATACAACTAATTCAATTATATTTTTTTTTCGTGTTATACAGGGTGATCTAACACGCATGCTCACCCCATTTTTTTTCTTTAGAATGAAGTTTTTCAAAATCTGATTTTTGGAATCTTTAAGTATACTCAAAGACCAAATTTTCATATTCTTGAGATTTTTTGTACCACTTAAAGAGTGTCCTAGCTGTGGCGATACAAATTTTTTTTTTCAAATGGGAACTCCACTTTTTACTGTAAATTATTTAGCGGATATTTTTTTTGTGAATTTTGATGTATTAAAATCAAAATTCGAATGAGTAGTTTTCTAGTTATTACATATTTTGTGCTAAGGATAATATAGTTTATAATCGTCATTTTATATTTATTTAGTCAAACTCTTAGGTAAATAGCAAGCAAAATCCTTCTTGATTTATTTAATTATTTTTCTTATTCCATGTGTAGTACTGTTTAAGCATTATCCCTAGTATGGACTATTATCCTAAATAAAAATTTTCCAATAACTAGGAAACCACTCGTTTGAATTTTGATTTCAATACATCAAAATTCTCAAAAGAATTATCCGCTAAATAATTTAAAGAAAAAAGTGGGGTTCTCATTTGAAAAACTAAGATTCGTATCACCACAGCTAGGACACTCCTTAAGTGGCACAAACAATCTCAAGAATATGAAAATATGGTCTTTGAATATATTTAAAGATTCTAAAAATCAGATTTTGAAAAACTTTATTATTAAAGAAAAAAGGGGGTGAGCATACTTATTGGATCACCCTGTATATTGGTTTCTTTGAAGAGTATAATACATATATTATAAATTTATAACAAATAGGAATGTATAGATAGGTCGTAAATACTTTTGTGTCGGTGGACTGACGGGCGATAGCGTTTTGGTGTTACAAGGGTCGGTAATAAATTGTTATTGTTGTTATTTGAGGGAATATTTGGTGTTCGGACCGGCTCGACGGGGGGCGTTAACACTTAAAACCGGCATAGTCTTCGGAATAATAATATAATATAATTTTGTTGGCAGTGTCATTGGTATTTTTTATATTTATAGTTATACTCTTTTCGGGTACATTTTCTTCGGTTCCATAGAATTCCGGGAACATGGCCATTGACATATTTTGACATATGTAATTTACAATAATATGTTTGAGGCCAAAAACCTGGAGGAAATTATCCTAGCCCGTCAAAATTATTGTAATAAGTATACACGACCTGCAGGGGCCAGGGGTGACTCCTAAGTTATAATTTTCAGATAACTTTAAATATTATAGTATGTTTTTTATTGTAATTTTATATTTGACCAAATACAATTTTTAGAAATACGGGCTCGGGATAGGGCTGCTCTCATTTGGAGTATTAATCTTTCCATTAATTTTGAACGACTTCGAGCAATAATTTTAGTATGATATAAATTAATCGAACTATAACACAGGTTATAACCTATATAAAATAGTATAATATGTACAAATAGTATAACAATATTATACGATAATAACTATTATGATAAGTTAGATCGCGAATTAAAAATTTCCTATATTAGTTGGGTTCTGGTTTTTTACAGGTTCTACACTAGTTAGGATAAGCAAAATGTACTTTTTCATGATATCTTATACCGTGGATGGTAGGAAAAAAAGTCTTGGGGTAAAAAAGTATCAGGAAATAAATTCTCGAAGAAAAAAGTCTGTTTTCTAAAGATAATAACTAACAAATACAAAGCAGATATATTGTATAGTTTTTAAAAAAATATGTCATTGAATCATAGTCAAGGTACCTACAATACGCACTGGTCTACTGCACTACGTACCAATCACACTAAAAAATGTTGTCGAGTGACTTTTAAATTAATTCTGGTTTTATTTTACTGCTCAAAATATTTATTACCTTTCAAAAATGATTGAAAAATTTGAATAAATTAATTATTTTTTAATTGTCTCCCCCTTCCCTTTTGAGTGCGAATTATTATTATAACATTTTTTAATAACAACTAACTCATAATCAATTTGTTTTTTATTTTAAAAATTAGAAACCAGAGAATCCTAAACCAAAACCAAAAATTAACCATTGTCAATAATCCTGGATGGAGACGAATACACAGTTGAGTCACGATAAAAGGGAAGCATCCGTCGTCGTCAATTCAGCACATAGATTTCCAGTCAGTTTCTGCACAGTGGATCAACCATCATCGTAAGAAAATTAGCAAAACGTCATATTCTCGTAATAACTCGGGATCAATTGAGAACGGTGGCCGGAGCGGTGACATTCATGGCCGCAGTCCGTTGTTAATGTATCACCAGATGTGGGCTACGTTGAAGGTGGTTCAGGGTGTGGTTTAGGAAACGGCATTTTGCGAGCAAACAATATTGAGTTTCGTTGAAAGAATTGTTAAAATATCTGCTAAGACTACATTGTATTTGTTTGTCTTGAGTAGTGTATTTGTTTGTCACGATTGTCCCGATTCAGAACTTTTCTTTTCGCAATTTTTAATCATATTTTTCATGAATCAGGTATGTTCATTAAGAAAGTTCGTTAACAGTTAGTCTCATTCAATTATATAAATAACACTAAAATTATTTACTTACAGATAATAATTGTTTTTGATCTTTCTTTGGATCAACTGCTGAAACAGAGCTCAGATATCAATTTCTCGGCAGCTGATAAATCAGATGTTTTGATAAAGACCCAGCGGTGTTCATATTATCATATATGTATCAACATACCATGTAAGTTTTTTAAGAAAACAGTTAGTCTCGTTTAAATATATAATTAACATTACAAATAATTTACTTACAGGGTATACACACCGGCATAAGATGCATCATTTTTATCAATAATACATCTTGTTGATTTATTGGTTCAATATAGTGCTGATTTGCTTCTCATTGGAGAGATATGCTTCAGAGGATCCTTCAACAGAACTTACACCCATGAGTTTTTCCAGAGTTTTGCGTGATGTCAACTTAAGTATCCTGGCCTTGTTCGTTACTATAACAATTATAATTAACACACTTATTATACATTCGTCATAGTTTATGAATTGTACATTCATATAAAAATTGCTGGAATACTTGTAAGTACTAGATTATAGATTATAACGAAAGGCTATTGTTTATTGAATCTCAACCCCATGTCACGTATTTTTTTGTTCTATTAATTTCTAACATTAATAACATCAAACTTGTACAGTTATAAATTTTTTTTATTGCGCCATAAAATCATTACTAGGTATGTTTTGACTGATATTTTAAAGCTTAATAGGTATGAAATATGATTACTTCATACTAATTTTCATTATATTACAATTGATTTTTAAATAACTTTGTCAGGCCCATGTGCATCGTGATGTTGTTTTTCTGGTGAATGAATTTATTGATTTTACAATGATGTGATTTTTGTTTAGCATCAACTTTTGGAGTATTAGGTATTAAAATGCTCCGATTTTCCAATTCAGCGTCTTTTCTGGTACAAAAATACAAAGTTCCACACAAATTATTAATAATGTAATTTAAAAAAAAATAAGTTGAAAGTAAATGTAGAATAATATTTTATGATTGTCCAATGATAGAATTTTGACGAAATTCGTCAAAATCGCGAAAAATTGTAATTTATTTTTGAGTTAGAACTTTGTTTAAATTTTTCATTTCATAGCTTACAATAGCCAATTTGAAAATTTCCTCACAAGTGTTTTTGACAAAAAAAAAACTTTACCGGAAAATAATATTCATTTGTATGAGCGTTTTAATTTAAGATTTGTATGGTATTGGATATCACCAGTTAACTAACGAATTCCCATTTGTCAATTTTTGATATTTTGTTGTACTTCAAAAACAAGTAACAGTAGGAACACACTTGCAATTTCCACCAAATATTTAAATTGTAGTAATTCAAAATAAAGTGCGTTTTTAAAATTTTGAAACGTTTGTAAAATTTTCAAAATATTTAACTCTTTTTGAGCTATTTTTAATATTTTATGGCTTTACTTATTTGAAATTATTGTTGATAAACGTTTTTTCACTTGGTATGTAAAAAATCTTGAAAATTGAAAGCAAGGTTCTTCTTAAATTAAGATTCATTATACATATACTACTTATCAAAAAAAAAGTTTACCAACATTTTTTTATAGATTTTGAGCAGAGAGATGAATGTATTGATTTTACAATGAAGTGCGTTTTTTTTTGTCTGCCATCACCTTTTGGGACAGTTTAAGTGCTTTGATTTTCTTCATTTTTTCGCGCAGAAACTGTATATATATGTTCAAATATGCTTCTACTCTGACACGATTATATAAGGTAGTTTCACTAGTTTGTAGGTACTACAAGTGGAACAAAAATTTACCCAATATCCGTTCAATTCTATACACCTAACAGAAATATAAGCTAACCAATTTCAATACATTTTTTAAATCCTTAATTTTTCTTCCACAATTAATATGCGAAGTAACTGATGAAAAATTAAACCACCCGAATCTCATTTAATTTAAAACTAATCAAAATTAACATATGAATATTTTTATAGGAGAAAACGCAATCAACATCATTTATGGAGTACGCGTAGATAATATGACAGCTATTGGGTCTTATAATAATATTAATAAAGAAGAGACAGACATTTCAAAGCGGTTTCAGCAGTTAATCCAAAAATAGATCGAAAACAATTATTATTTGTAGGTAAATTACTATAGTGTTATAAATATAATTGAATGAGACTAATTGTTTTCTTAAAGAATCTACCAGGTTCGTGCAAAAGATCATTGAAAATTGCGAAAGAAAAAGTTCAGATTCGGGATTATAATCGTGACAAGCAAATACAATGTAGTCTTAGCAGACATTTCAACTGTTCTGTCGATGAAACTTAATTGTTTGCCTCCGAAATGCCGTTGACAAACCACATGCTGAACCACTGGCAACGTAATCTACATTTGTAGGTACGCTGACAATGGATTGACGATTTCGGACGCCGGTCACCATTCTCAATTGATCCAGAGTGAGTCACAAGAATATCACGTTGTTCTAATTTTCTTGCGAAGACGGCGTTGATCCGGTGTACAGAAACTGACTGGAAATTTAAGTGCTGAGGAACTGACGACGACGGATGCCTCCCGTTTGTCGGACTCAACTGTGTGTTCGGCTCCATGCAAGGTTACCAGCGGTGGCTAGTGTTGGTTTTATGGTTGAAGAACCTGTAATAATTTTGAAGGCAATTCATTATTTATTTATTATAAGTTACGTGAAATAATATTTTGTAGTTGGCCTTGGCACTAATCCAGGAATGATTTTTGAAAGGGATTCTTTTGTATTTAATTATAACATATAGGTATATACAATATTGTAGTGGTATTGCGATTGATATTTATTGTAATTTATAAAGAAAATAATAATAAATATAATACAATTATTATTGATTATGCATATTGCATTAACATTTACTTTTCATTACTTTAAACCATATTACTGACTATTTTTGTATTAAAAAAAAAAAATAGATAAATAACAACTTAAGATAATTATTAAATTGTAAGTTTCCATATAACTTTTAACTTAACTGAGTTATAACTATTAATTTTATAAACTTTGCTAAATGTTATCTATTAAATCAGGCTTGACTGTAATTCAAATCTATGTCCACTGGACTTATTAATTTTTTTAATGGTCCTATTTTAATTGGAATGGTATAGTAATTATTTTTGGTTGACAATAATCTGCATGACAATCTTAGCTGTTGTTTAATCGATAGTGTTTTTTGTATCTATTGAATCATCTTGATCCCCCAAATTGGCAACGTAGAGTTGAATTGTTAGACCACAATTAAATGCCCAGTTAATTTTGTGTTCATGAGTTGTCTTGAGATCATTCACATTCTATATGTAATAAACAATTGTAGTTTAAAGTTACCTAAATTATATTAGATAGACATAAAAATCTATGCTACAACAATTTACAATGTACAAACTACAAATTAAGTTTTTATAATTTGATATAGATAAATATATTGAAAAATGGCCATTGGCGCATGACTAGGTACCTAAACATAATGAGGCATATTACAATATCAGTAGGTACTCTATAGTATACACAAATACACAATATACTAGGTACACATATTTCTATACTATATAGAAATATTGGCAGTGTTATTAGCGGCACTAGGTAGAAACTCATGAGGGTGCAAATATTCATGAATCAAGGTTAACAATTAAAGTAATTTGAATGAAAAATAGTAGTAATAAGTAGTATTGTTCTTTTTTTATAAATATATGCATTGCACATAGAAAATTGAATTAAGTAAAATAATTAAAATAAATAAAATACTTAAAAAAATACTTAGTTTTTTAGAATATAATTTAATTTTTAGCGCATATTTAGCTAATGTACTAACTTAATAAACATTTTTATTATATTAATAAAATATTCAAAGAAAAAATGTTGTTTATTAGTGTAATATGGGTGTGTAATTTTATTTGGGGGGTACATTTTTTATAGCATAAGTGCACATTTGATATTTTTGTGCATAAGTCCTTGCTCTACTAAGGTCTTTAAAAATTATATTACAGTCAACTCTCGGTATGTACAACGAATAATACTGTGGTCTCCTTGAAAATCTCATGATATAACAAAAAAATTAATGTATTTTCTATATAACAAAGTTTTTAAGGGTAAAGATCTCCCAATTACAAATTTTGAGTTTTTTTCGCCTCTTATTATGCAATAAGATAATATTCATGTCGTTGTTTATGAGATATACGCCTGTTAAATATAAATTATTACAATTATTACCTATTTGTAGCATTTTAAATTTGGCTAACAATATTGACGGAGTAAGCAAGTGGCTACAGACAAAAAAAAATTACTGATTTATTAAAAATATAAATTTTTATATGCGTAATAATCAAAAAATACATTTTAATAATTTCTAATACATATATACTATATACAGGATGATTCAACACGCATGCTCACCTCCTTTTTTTCTTTAAAATGAAGTATTTCAAAATCTGATTTTCGGAATCTTAAAACATACTTCAAGACCATTTACTTATATTCTTGAGATTTTTTGTACCACTTAAGGAGTGCCCTGTAGCGATACAAACTTTTGTTTTTTAAATGGGAACCCCACTTTTTTCTGTAAATTATTAGCAGATCATTTTTTTGAGAATTTTGATGTATTGAAATCAAAATTTGAATGAGTAGTTTTCTAGTTATTACATATTTTGTGCTAAGGATAATATAGTTTATAATAGAGAAGAAGGATATGCTTATACAGTTTACGCTGTTATCTATAGTCTATACACATAATATAAAATAATAGATCATTTTATATTTATTTAGTCAAACACTTAGGCAAATAGCAAGCAAAATCCTTCTTGACTTATTTAGCTATTTTTTTTATTCCACGTGTAGAACTGTATAAGCTGGATCATCTATACCATACCACCTTAAAGAACAAATTAAATATTTGTATACATTGTTATCTATAGATGTACTGATTAAAAGAAATATAAATAAATATACAAAATATAAAGCATATACACACAGGTAATTTTATTAAATAAATAGGTACATGCATTTTCTAAAAATTATTTATAAAACAATAAATTAAATTCACTTTTAACCTCAATTACTTTTCAATATCAAAATAAATAAAAAAATGTACTAAAATTAATTTTGCTTATATTAAAAAATGAATACAAATTAAAAACACAAAAAAATAAACATCTTCTATTTAACTACTTGTATAGTATAAAGGTTGTTAAAATATACATTTAATCTTTAGATAAACATTAAAGAAAAGTATTTATTTTTAAAAGTAAGTATAATTTTTTTAATTAAAATTTGAGTATAAATTGATCAGATGGCAAAAAATCTGATTTATTGGTTTGCATATAATCATTAGATGAATTGGATGTTGTTCTGTTTATAGATGTATTTTTTTTAGTATTAATTTTTTTAAACGTTTCACTTTGAAGCATACAATTTCCTAAAATGTTGATGCGACATTATTAGTTTATTACCTATTATGTAATTTACCCAATTTTAATTTTATAAAAATAATGGCCATTAGTTGGTTACATGGGTTAATAAAATATAATTCAACCATGATTATAAAATATGGGGTATTAAATAGGTAACCAATTATTTTGTTTCAACATTTATATTGTTTATTATTTCTTATTTAAAACTTATTATCAGTCAACTATTTTATTTTTGCAATGTATTGGTAATCCATAGTCAAAAAAATAATTTAAAATTTCAATGAAATATTAAGATATAAATATACTTTGCTAATAATTACACACAACTGACCAGATTGCTGTGGTGTTTCTAATCCTTGGAAACTTGATACAGGAGTTAAATCTAAATCACCTGCAATTTTGTAACAATTTGTTTTTTTTACTTTTTAAAATAACATTTAAATAAACAACAGATACAGTAATAACTTACTGTCAAAATAGTTTGAAAAATCGAATTGTATATTATTCTGATATTGACTAATATCATGAGTATTTCCATATGATTCAGATAAGTCAGACTCCTAAAAAAAAAAAAACGTTTAGTTGATAAAAAATTAATTGGTTAATTTACTTACACAGAAACTACTATTTGCACTATTTTGAGACATCGAATCTGAGCAAAAATTCCAAAATGCATCTATTTAAATAAAAAAATAATTATATGATTTTTTTTCAAATTCACTTATTGTTTTCCTTCGTTGAATAATAACTAATAAATAGTTGATTAAAAAAGTATTTTAATTATTATCGGAAATTTACTTTTAAATTAAAATACAGTATGTTGCTTATAAAAAAACAAAGCAGGATTGTACAGTTCAACTTTTCAAATAGTTGATAAAATAACTATTTAAAAATCAAGTAGGTAATTTTTATAATTACTAATTACCTAGATTCAAGACTATTTTTGTCAAAAATTAACTTGTCTCATGTATAATATGATTAATATTAAAATAGACATTGCATTGCAATATTGTACATAGGTACCAAACCTCATCAGTTATAAGTAGGGTTCGGATTTAAATGCCCTTTCAAAAAATGCATTTATGACCTAAAAACTCTAAAAAATGCATTATTTATTAAATAAATTTAAATTAAATAATTATTAAAAAATGATGAAAAAAAAATTATATTTCATTACAATGTACAAAAAAAAAATTAAATTACATTTGTATTGCATTGTACAATAAGAATTTTTTTAATGTTTTGGAATTTAAATGATCGACGGTTGTCTGCCAATAAGTCTATATATATTGAAAATGACCTCTCTACATCAACTGAGGTGATAGGAGCAAACTTTAAAAATTTCAATTCGTTAGGTTTTAAGTCTTCTGGAATAATATCTTCTTCTCCTTCTAATATTTGACATATTTTTTTTATTTGGTTAAAGCCTTTATTTTTATTTAAAACGTTGTCAAATTTAAAATTTACGTTTATTCCAATTTAACTTGGTGATTTTCTAATAATATTTTTAATCATAGCTATAATATTTATAGACTCTGTTAACGCTAATCTTGATGTTTCTAGCTTAGTTATAGCAAATGGAAGGCTACTAAAGTTTGATTTAATGTATATTAATTTATTCTTTAAATTTAAATCTCCACTAAGTAATTGTTGACATTTCGCAATTGAAATTGCATCTCCTTTATCAAATATAATGGCTTCAATAATCGGAAAATTGTACCCGTATTTCTAACGATACTCAATGTAAACCATGTGCCAAACAAGTAACATGGACCATTTTGGAATACAAGGAACTTAAAGATTGTCCAGCTTTGACCATATATGGAGCTGCGTCACTCAAAAAAAGTAATACCTTATCATGTTTTATTCCTGTTGGCCACAAAATTAAAAGAGATCTATCAAATAATTTTGCGATTGTACTATGGTTCGCTTTTTCTAAAACATCGCTATTTAGTAAAACTGCTTTTCCGGGCGTATCTACTTCTACAGTTCCAACTACAACGTATGCTACGTAACGCCCTTCTACATCAGTTGTTTCGTCTATAGAGATTCAAATATTTTTATTTTGTATATATTGTCTAATTTTTATAAGTGTGTTTTCATAGATTTGACAAGTGTAATTTTTTCTTAGTGTAGATTTCTCTGGTATTTTTTTATTTGTATATTTTTCTAAAAATTCGCGAAAAGTTGTCTTTTTGTCAGCGGCAACTTTCACCTCACATATTTTACAAAATAAAATTTGACCATCCGTAGAAAATATACTACTACCATATTCTTTTACGTATCCACGAAGTCGGCCCGAACATGGCATCTTTACTTTAGGGATTTCAATTTTTGTTTATACAAATATAAAATGCGAATTAAATAATATACGTAAAATGTGAAATACACCTGTAGTAAGTACCTACGACGTAATACGCAATACGACTGAAAGCGTCCGACAATCGGCCACGCGCACCACCAATATAATAGTATAGCTCAATAAGGAAATACTCCGATAAAAGTTTAGTTGTGTGCAATAGAATTGGCTAATTGGATGGTGTGACATAAAGATTGTAAAAACCGGAAAACCTGATGTTAAATTAGTTTAAATAGTTCAAAATGAAAATAATTTATATTACGTATAGTACTAAACTACTATGTAGTACTTATATTTCAATGAGGTCAATTTTTTTAGTCATAATACGTCAAATAGGTCAAAAATGTCTTAAAAATTAAAAAATGCATTAAAACCATCAAAAAATGCCCAAAAAATGTATTGTGGTTAGATCGTGGAGTACTTGAAACATATTTGTAGCTTGGAAAGCATCGCGTAAGATATCCCAAAAAAAAAGATGCAAATTCATGGAAATCCGAGCCCTATTATAAGTTACTGAATAATTAGAATCTCAGAAGACATATTAATATAATAGTATACAGAAAAAAATGGACTAATAGTATGGTAAATAAGACTATTTTTACAGACCAGAAACATCTCTATTTGGCTCAAGAGATGCATTTGCATTTAATTGTGATAAATCATTAAAAATGTTGACATTGTCAGAATTAAGATTCTTTACATTTGACTGTTCAATAGATTTTAAAGAATTTAATTTCTGTGGATGGTCCTTATTTGTCAGACAACTCAATCCTTTAACTTTTTCTTGATTAAAATTGTTATCCATATGAATATCCTGAAAAGAAACATTAATAATTGTAATATACCTACAATTAAGATACAATAAATTGATAAAAAAAAATATACATATATATATATTAATTAAAACTTATAATATGCCAATTCGGCTAGTTAATTTATCTATCTATAAATTCCAAAAGAAAAAATTAATTATAAAAAAATTAATGTATTATGGTAGTAATAGTCTATGCACTAAGGATAAATAAAAATAAAAATAGGTACACATTTTTGTTGAAAGGTTTAACATATCATTTTTAAAAAATATTTCCTAATATTTGAATCAGTCTTTTGAGAAACCCAACTTATCCACCATCAAAAATTGTTTTTAATAGCATCAACAATTGTAGAAACCAATGAACCCTATTAGTCTAGACTCTAGATCATGTTATTTCAATTTTTTTTAAATATTTTCTTAGACTGCTGATTAATTCATAAACACAATTTTTAAATGATCTTAAAATTCTTTTAATATTGTTACTATATTTTCTATATTAATACCAACCTTTCATAATACCATTAAATATATACAGTATAATAAATTGGTATAATAAATCTAAAATTAACAGACAATTAGCTAATAGATGTTACTCCAGTTAATTATATTCGGCTTAGCTTTATAACAATATCATCACCGATTAGTGATTACCCACAATTGAAATTAACATTAAGGTATGCCAGTTATTCAAATTAAAATATACCTTATTTGCCTTCATTTTACTTGGTTGAATAATTGTTGAATTTATTTTATCTTTATTTTGTAAAGGATTATATGGTTTTTTAAATTCAAAATCTGACTGAACATCAATAGTTTTACGTTTAATAGTATGGGTATTTAGATCACCATCATTTATATTATGGTTTTTTGTAGATTGAATAGTACTCTCGTCCACGTTATGAATATTTTTTAATTGTGCAGAATTGTTATTAATATTTTCATTGGCTTCTACTATAAATGTGTTTATGTTTTTGCAAGCATCTACATTTTTATCACTTGTATCCAGTGATATCTTATCTTCAGAAAATGAATGAAAAGTCACATTTTTTTTTGGTTTGTTATTTAATTTTGAATCCTCAATATCTATATCATCATCATCATCATAAATAAAATCGGGATGATTAATATTTCTAGAATAATTGAAATTAGGTTTTAGATCTTGGCCCAAAGAATTCAGTTTTAAATCAAATATTTTGGATTCAAATTTGCTAGGAGCATGTGACCAAAATGATACTTTATTGATTTTCTGAAAACCAAATATAATAATATAAGCATAGTAACAATTAGTTTAAAAAATTTTTATTTGTTTTTACATTTTTTTGAGATTCAAGTAGTGCATTTTTTAAATAACATTTCTCATTATATTCTGTTTTCAGTTTCCTAAAATATAATTATACCATGGCATAATAATTAATATACAAGTATAATAGGTATACCAGCTCTGGCCTAGCTGAATATCTAAAATAATCATTATTTTATTTCAAAATCAAGAAATGTTGAAAAAAAAATTTACCTTAATAGAGTTTTACAGTTTTCTTCTTTTTTATTTAAAGATATCATTTCGACATAGACTTTGGCATATTGTACAATAATATGATTCTGTTTTTCATCTGCAATAGTATAACTTTATTGAGTAAAACAATTACTTAGCTAATACATACAATTATTAGTACTTTCTACCAGGCTATATTTTTATTGAAATAAAAAACTGTATCTATTTTTAGGAGAATTAAATACTTAGCAGTAAATTGTTTTGACTATAAAAATACAATGCAATGTGATTACCATTTTCTTTTGTAGCTACATCAATCTTTTTAACTAAATTCTGCAAGGTTAGAAGCACCTCTTCATATTCTAATTTTGTGTTCTTTAGTTCAGAATCAGCAATTTTTAATAATTTAACCTCAGGTATATTATTAAGTCGTTCCTAAACAGTTATTTAAACATGTATTTTCTAATTATGGAAACTTGAATCTAATATCCTTACATTTAAATAATTTTTTGAAAATGTATTCCTAAAATAATTCTATAGGTACATAATAAATTGTGATTTTTTGTTGTTGTGTTTGTAACCCGATAGGATAACGCTTATATGAAAGACAATTTTAGGGGAAATCCACCGGAAAAGTAGGAAACCTGGGTGGCAAAAATTCAATAGTGGAGCCTTCTATTCAGCAAAAAATAAACTAAACAATAGCTAATTTTTCATATGTTTCCTGAGAACCTACATGCACATTATAAACAAGAACTCATTTAACATGTTAATAAAACATTTGTGATTAAGTACTCACCTCACAGGGTCTACTACAATCCACCACAGGTGGATTGCCTACCAGTAAATACACTGCTCGCATAATCACTCACCAAAAATAATAATATAAATATAATAAATAATGTAATATTATAATTGAATGTGTCCTGACTGACTGACAGTTTAAAGTAGCCTAAATAATAATAAGTTGGAGCTTGAAATTGATGATGTACATAGGCATATAGAAAGCATTCTAGTTTATGAAATTTTTTAAGTTTCGAACACCATTACAATAATGAATTGAACAAAGTTTATACCATACCTAAGCATTTTTAACAGGCAACAAAATCTTGACATGGGTGGGACAGCTAGTATTATATAAGATTACTAATAAATCAATTCGGTAGGTAATTAAATAAGATAATATACCTACTTTGTAGAATTTTCATAAACTAAACATTTTTATATTATTTTTATACAAGAGCGTGCATTATTAACAGACACAACTTGTTTCATAATATGGTTATCATAAACAATCATTAAGAATACAATATTATTTTTTGTTAAATATTTTAAGTTCAAGTTTATGGAGATGTATTGTTCTTTGGTATTTTAAAAAGTTTTTAGGATAATGATTGGTTTAATTAAATCTGTTTAAGTTTTTGATCAAATATTGTAAGTGTGCGAAATTACAAGTTCAATAAAGAGTCATATTTTTTTTTTATATAAAATATCAATGAAAATTAAATTTCTAACCTCTTCTTTTTGCCATAATTCCATTCTTATAAATAGCTGTAATTCATATTCACATTTTGATTTATTTACTGCAAATTTTTTCTTTTCGTATTGAACTTCAAGATGAGCTAATGTTTCATTTAGAGAGATAGTAATGTTGTCAATACTAAAAAATTTAATCAAGCAGAAAAAAAATTCTGATTATAAAAGTGAAAATATATTTTTAATAACAATTAAATAGGTATGTAAGATATCAAATTATTTATAAATAAGTAAGATATCAAATTAATTATAAATATATATATTTATGTAATATTATGTTAAGAAGTACCTCACTATATTTTCTCTGACTTCATTTATTCTTGTTTTAGTGTCATTCAGTTGTTTTTCAATCCATTCATTTTCAAAAGTGACTTGTTTAATAGATTGTTTGATTTCTTCAATACTTTTTACTTTTACTAAAATATGTAATTTAGGTTAGGTGAAAACGGTACAATTGATTTTATGTTAATAGCGGTTTTTGAGTCAAAAATTATTAATGTATTGGTAGATATGTTACGGGCAAAGTAGAAAATTCGGACAATGTATACAATGCCCAGGCATTGTATACAATGACCGGTCATTGTATACAATGTCCGAGGTATATTGGGCAATGTAAATTGTGAAGTATTTATACAAATAATCTACATAATATTATTATACCTAATCAATGATATTATATACTAATTTAATTATACTCGTTTATACGGTTATTTATATAAGAGTATTACAATTTTTTTTAAATTAATTACATTTTAAATGTATTTAAAGGTAATGAAATAAAATATTATGTGCATAATGTTCAGTAATATGATATTATACATGAAGTTCATTAGTCAATTGGACATGGAGGTAGAAATATAATGGAACACGAGATTAATAAAAAGTACAAAAATATAACAAGAGATGTAATAAAGTTATACTTAAATAATTGCGAATCGTGTAAAAAGAAGGGAAGTACAGCTAAAAAAGGGTTGGTTGTAAACCCAATCATATCTTCTGAAATGAATTCTCGCTGTCAAATTGACTTGATCGACATGCAAGCACAATCAGATGGCGATTATAAGTTCATATTAGTTAATTAGTTTATCAGGATCATCTAACAAAATATATTATGCAGATTATTTGTATAAATACTTCACAATTTACATTGCCCAATATACCTCGGACATTGTATACAATACCCGGTCACTGTATACAATACCCGGTCACTGTATACAATGGCCGGGCATCGTATACATTGTCCGAATTTTCCACTTTGCCCGTAACAGATATATACCCAATAGAATAATAGATGCTTGATAATTCAATACATTAGAGGGACTTTTAGATAACTTTAGATTACTAAGGTTTAACCAAATAGAGGGAACAAAACTGAGTTAGAGAGACTTATAAAAAGTAAATACATTGATACCTATTGTATGAATATAATGTAAAATAATAATAATTATATTATATTATATTACTCAAAACTAAATATACATTTAAATAAATATATTTTTCTTATATATAGATAGATTTTTTTATGGACAATTTGTACCTACTACCTATGAATTAATTGTATACTTAGTATCCATTGTTTGTTTTATTAGTGTATTCATATATATCTAGCGGTATAAATAGATTAAACATACTACACAAGTATTAGAGGCGGGTCAAACCGTCAAACTGTTGAGAGTTCAAAAAATTGAACCTACTTAACCAAACTCTAATAAAGTTTTAAATTTAATAATTAAAAATTGGAACATGTCATAGGTTTTGAACAAAATGTTTTATATTTTAGTTAAACATAAAGTTAAAAAATTTGATTCATGTTTATTTTAAAAGCTCGGTTAGAATTCAGTTGTGTTCTAAACCAAATGTTTGGTATGGTTTCTGTTTGAGTTAGGCGATTTAAAACATTCAATTCCTTATGTTACAACTTAAAACTTACAACTTACAAATAATATCTTTTGTATTAATATGTCAATACCTATTATTAGTCATTTTTTAATCACATAAAAAAATTAAATTAATCTAAGGATTAATTTAATTTGTAAGAGCAAAATTTTAAATTTTATACAATAAATGAAAAATAATACTTACAACGGCACTTTTCTTCAACTCTCCAAAGTTCAATACTACTTTCATAAAATGTCAAATTCAACCGGCTTAGATCATTGATCATCCTTGAATCATTTTCTTCATTACCTGACATTATTTTATAAGAGTTTGAACTGAATTTGAAATTAATAATAACAGACCACCTATAATAATACAAAGTAAATGATAGAATATTATAAACCATTCAAAAATAAATGGTAAAATAAAGAATGTTTGAGTACTTACTACTTAAGAACCTACAATTTAACAGTAAATGTAAATTGTACTTAAAATAAGTTACCTATTATTTTTGTAGGCTGTCGATACTAAATACCAATAGGCAACAATTAACTGCCTACAACTTACTATTTGGCAGTAATAATTAACGTCCTGCACTTTTGCTGTTAAATCGTCAAATGCTATAATCCAGTACTTACATAGTTTTTATAAACTATAAAAGAAAAAAAATTAAAGAAGTAAGAACTAAGAACCAAGAAGTAATAACAAAACAAATTGTAGCGCTTTCACGCCGATCACCACCATTTACCGGATTGTGACCGACGTTGTTGTAAGCACGGTATAATATTAATTATTAACCGGTTACCGAATACCTATACAGGCTGAAATCTTTGCCACCTCCGCCAAATAATTTTAAGCGGGAGCCGGGAAGCGAAAACTGGGTACTTTCAGTGTGACCTTAATATGAAAAATAAATTTTTGTTCTATGTGCACTGTACAATATTTATGGATTATTTTTAGGAAATAAACCACGAAGTTAATAATAAATATCACCGAATTAATAATTCTAATTGTTATAACAATTGAAGTGTTTCTGGATCTCCTCCCGTTTTTAAAAGAGCTTGTTCTTGTAGAATAATTGCTTATTTACACTTGGGTTTAATATTGTTACAACATTTTTTTTCAGTTATTTACGTTTCTCTTGTAGATGAGTAAAATAATCTTTTCGCAATTATCACCAACAACAATTAGGTAGGTACGCCACAAGCACAAGAAAAATAATAAAATAGTAACCAAATACGAAACACAAATTATTACTCTAAACACGTACGATTTGGCAAATATTCGTTCACCATTTTTAGCAGTTTCGATATTAATGTGGATTCACACCTCGTCGTGTCATGTCGTGTCGTGTATATATTTAGTTTATATTATAGATGGTAGTATTGTACAGTAAATAAAAATGAATATTTTTTAGGAGCCGTCCACCTCGAATTTTGATAATAATTCCAATGGTGTAACACTGTCTGATGTAGGTTTCTATATGGCTATATATTATGTATATTCACATTTTTTCTTACAGTTAATAATAATAATAAATTAAACAAAGTTACTTAACATTGAACAAGAACTGTCTTAACATTGAATATATGAATGCACGCAACTATATAGTAACTACCTACTGTTATCAACCCGTTTTTATTCAATAAAGTCATTTTAGTATTTTACTATCGACGAGACCAAGGGGGTTTATTTTATCAACCATTAGTTATTGAATAGAAACCTAAAAACAATTGTTAAACACACATAAAATACATAATGTAAACAATTTTCCACGATCACACATTATGATATGAATATACAACATTTTGTATTATATGTAGTTTTTTTTTATTATACTGAGATGATAATATTCTATCATTTTTAAGCAACACAGCACCTGGAAATTTCTCGGTAAAATGCAATGGGACACTAACCAAGCCAATAATTGTGATTTGAAGCAGTGTGGATGGTTAGTATTTAATCAGACTGACTCGTTACCGAATCGTTGGAGATTGGTGGTTTTTAGTCCCATCACTCCCATCAGTAATAAGAAAGTGCGGCAGAGTTCGTCGAAGGCTATCGCCAAAATTGAAAGAGCCCTCCTACAAATAGTTCCAACAGATCCCGTTCTTCCAAGTAAGGTAATGTAATGCAGCTATTATAGTGATCACTGATGTACCTACAGGCATTGATTATAAATACTATAGATTGCTGCTCACTGGACGGTTTTTCGGTGGCGCGGTAATAATCGGGTGCCGCTACAAGGCGCTGCGGACGCGTGGATAGTTAGATCGGATAACGCTGTAAACGCTAGTAGTCACGTCATTTGGCCGATTGTAGGCAAACTGCGTAGCGTATTCAGGAGAGGCGCATCAGTTTATAATCGACTCCCCATATAACTTTTATATTCAATTTACACTAGTTCGGTCATTACAGTAGTAATAGTAGACAGACAGACAGTAGTACTGTAGGGCGTAGAGTATAGTTCGACATTCGTGTACTGTACTCGAGATCCGTTAGGTTGTCTATGGTTTACTGGTTTACTCAAGGCTGGGCATTAACGAGTTAAAATACCACTAAATGTCCACAAGGTTTATACAAGTACAATTAATTTTAACTTATATAAAGATTCAATTGGAAAATTAAACTACAGTTTAAATTACCTAAAAAGAACACAACAATTATAATATTAGACATATAAATAAATCATGTTATTATCAACTACTAAAAAATGTTGTCTTTCATTTGCCTTTAGAGACTTTAAGCAGTGCATCCCAATTTTTACAAGTTCATCAAGAAAACGGAAGAAGAAAATCTGAAATCGAATTAGTTCTATCAGAACCGTTGGATCGGGATCTTATGTAACCCATCTATCATAGTTGTTACCTATGTTTACCTTAAGATTTCATAAATTTCCGTTTTCTCTTATAGTTCCCAATGTTCCCATATAAGGAACGACTTAGTCAATATTTCAATCCCCGGAAATCTTTATTGACCGGTCCATATTATTATTTTAATCCAAAAATTTAAAAACATCAACATATTATTATAATGTAAATTTTATTATTCAATTTTATTTACCTACTGTTACTTTAGCGGACAATTTATGTAGCATTTTTAGTTTTTATATAATTATACAATATATATAGTTTATTACTGTACTTATTCCATATTTAGTTTGAATGAATAAATTAGAACATGTATTAGCACTGATATTATTTTGATATTTATTTGTATTATTATTGATTTATAAAATCAACAAATTAAAATCATACATCGTTTGCCGAACGAGTTAATTCAGTCTTGTTAAGTACCTATTCGAATACTTATATTTAAATACTTTAAAAATACTTTTTCTTTGTATTTTATTCCCGATTTTAATCGTTCTTAAAATATTATTGCTCTTAAGAGTTAATAAGATTTCATCAAACACCTACGCAGATGACGCAATACCTTGCTAATTTTTTTTTATATCAACCTAGCTAAAATTTGTTTTATACCAACCTAGATGAAGTTTAACTTGGCGTGATTTAAATTTTAAATATAATAGGTATCACGTACCTGCAATTATTGAACCAATAAAACAATGTAGATTTCATTTTAATTTTTTTTAATATTTTTAAGTGTAGGTACATTCATGATTAATACTATACTATTACTAAATATTTTAATATTATTAAAAAAAAGGACCTGTATTCTGAATACATTTGAAGAGTATTTATATAGGTACATACAATTTGGCTGAAATGTATGTGTGGTTATATGGATATGTTTCTGTTAATTTCTCGATCAAATGATGTAATGTAATAATATGGAAGTATACACATTACATGAGTTAATTTTGGGTCATTCGATTGAATTAATTGCTCCCCGAATGTGTGTGCATTCGGAGATAATAAAAAAACATGTACATCAATTGTATGCAAAATGTAATAATTTATTCAAAAATAATAATTCAATACAGGGGCGTTCTTTTGGCAGCAACATTGATTTTACCCACCGTAAATAATAATTGTTTTTACTTTACAATATAAATCATAATTTCATCAAACCATCGAATTTTAGTGATTTTAGTTTTCATATTATATAAAGTCAAGCGTCACTATAGGAGGCTCCTTATTAGAAATTCTAATAATTGTTTGTTCTGTCATCACATACACTTATTGTACTAAGTAAAGATTGTGCATATTATCTTGATAGTAAAAAAATATATCTATTTATAAAATTCAAAATCTGATTTCTTACCATAATGTAAAAATACTATACGTATACAACAACAGTATTTTCACAAATACATTTTAAATATATTTACATTATGTATAACATTACTAATGTTATATTATTTGTAGGTATTAAAATCCACCGAACAATGTTCTTGATAATATTAGAAAAAATATTAAATCGTATGCGACATATTTTTACTAGAAAAATTTTCATACATTTGGCTTCTTTGGGTTCAGTATAGGCATTTAAAAAAAAAATAAGGAGGCAAAAGCTACTATGTACACCCCTTTAAATGACGCAACTGTGATATTTCTACTCGTGAAGTCTATGTACAGTCATTTATGCAGACAAGTATAAAGTTATTTAATTTTTTTTCTCATGAACAAATATTATAAAATACTGAAAAATATGTAACATCATAAACTATATCTATATCTATATCTATATATATATATGCCTATAATAAATATTCTTAATACAACTGAAACATTGTGGTAATATTATTAAAAATTAAATTAAAAACATTTTGTTGTATTTAAAAATTAAAACAAAATAAACAAAAACGACCAAAAAAAAAAAAAATGGTATAGGTTTATGGTATAGGTTCATCAAATATTATACGTTAATAATTGCAGTCGTATGACCATAATAATAATAATAATAATAATTAATAATTATTATTATTATTCAATATACACTACGGTTTTGTACAGTTTGCTCGTATTGTATAAATCAGGAGGGGAGTGGAGTGTCGATGCCTGGATCGTAGTCAGCTCAAAATTCACATTTAAATAGAATTACAACTTAATTACAGAACCACAAATTAATATTAAAATTATTCGTCTCGACATTTATTTAATATTTTAAATAACAATGTTTTGAGTACACTTAAATATTAATCTTATAACGACCGCGGAATAAAAAAAGAAAAATATGACAAACGAAGCTTTTGCGTAGCTATAATAAGAATCACGCGCAGTTGATTGGAACAGTCGACGAGACAAAATCTTTCTACCTTTTCCACAGAATTCGATTGATAATGGGACAGTAGCGAGCCGCCATATATTCATATTAGGACATAATACTTTTACCTATTCCATTTCTCGCGTTTGCCGGATAGCGTCGTTTCGTGTTTTTATCGTTGTCTTAAAAATAAAACGTATTAAATGTTTGGAAAAAAAAAATGAATTACTTACATAATTAAATCACGCGGCACTATAATACTATAAATATATACTACCTACCTATCATAGGATAGATTATGATATGACATAAGCCGTAAATTGTAGCTACGATACGACTTGCAGCACGACGAATGCACGCGAGCATAAATAATAATATAATACTGCATATTTAATAATAATATTATTATCACTGGTTTGCGGTGGTAGTTGGGGTGGGCGAGGCGTCGTGCAAATTCGGTGTTAGGTCGCGTCTGTACATTATAGCATTAACAATTTACTATTATGGTACATTGCCTACCTAGGCCTAAACCTAATTATTGTATCGTATAATTATTATTTTATCGATATAAAATTTCGTTATTATAATAGGTATAATATATTATTTTATGATGTAGGCACAGGAATATAATGCAAAGACGACTGCAATCGTTCTATGTACACGATAACAATATTATTATGTTTTTGATGTACACACGCACGGCCGTTGAATACATTATTATTGTACATCATGAGCTATAATTATTATTATTATTAGTTATGACACATAAGCACCCATATCGTAAAATATAGGGCACACGATTATGAGGACGAGTTCGACTTGACGGTGAACACGCTCGAAAGCGGGGTGGGCTGCGCCTCGTTTGTCATCGGCAGCGTGCTGGGACCGTTGTTGTGCTTCCCGTCGGTGACGTACCGCTGTTTCTCGCCGGTGCACATGGACTTGACCTTCAGGCTCATCGGGTGCAACAGGTCCTCGTTGGTCGTCTCTTCTTTGCTCCACAGGTCTGTGTGCATAAATCACGTCATATTATATACAATATTGCAATATTATAAATAATGATATCATAATATATTGTAGGAGGTAGTTGACAATATTGATAATAATATTAAAGTCAATAATATTACAAACATGGACCTATAATAATATAAAATCATATATTATGATTCACGTCATCGTCGTTCAATATATTATAGTAAAAGATCAAAAACTTAAAAGAGCGAATATTTCAACAGCCAATACCAGACGTTATACGTCATCTCAGTCGATTTTTTTCAAAATATGTATGTATATAATATGTTTATTAATATATTATTACGTTGTATTGTATACAACCCAAGTGAACGGACGATTGATAGACAATGGACGAATAAAAATTGATATTAAGAAAAATGACTACAGATTAGGTTTTATTTTAACCTAATATTAATTAAAATCTTTATTTGGTTTTTACGTTGTTGTAAGTAGACATAAAAGAAACATGCTGTCAGCATACAATTATTTTGCTATTGTCCCCCACTCGCTTCTACGAAATCGTAAAAAAATAAAACTGTTATCTGGATATAACACGTATGGGGAATAGAATTTTTAGTGGTTACGAACGTTTCTTTATAGCTGCTTAGTCCAACTCTATCACTACTGAAACAGGGTCTTTTTGTTGAAGAATTCAAAGTTTTTTTTAACCTCAAATCCTGGTTGAATCAAAATTTGAACCCGGGATCCTCATTTGGAATCATACGTGAGGTATGTTCGATTGCTTTTTTTTTTATTCGCCTGACATGAGTAGTTAAAGTATTTAATAATATATTAGAAAAAATTAATTTTTATATTCACGAACACTGTACGAATACAAATAAATTCATAACTCATTCCGTTATGGAATTAAAATCGGACAACCATAGTAGATGATTTGATTAATATAACTTCTAAATCATATTATAATCAAATTAAGTATACAATTCTGCACTTGATAATCAAATAAAAGTTCTAAATTGTTCGATTAAATGCAGATTCTAAATCCGACGTTTAACTCGCTCGGCGTAGCCCGTTGGTGGGAATGAAAACAAGAATTCTAATTACTTTTTGGTATAACAGTTTGGTACAATATGCTTTTATAATATTATATTATTAAATATACATAGATTAGAGACGTATTTATAAATTTTAAAAGGGTTTCAAGTAAAAGAGAAGATAACACAGTCCATACAATTCAGATTCTAAAGCGCAGACATCATACAGACGTCATTATTAGGTAAATCGACTAGCCAATCCAGACTCGCTATCATTATAATGTTACTAGGTTACGTTTACATAATATGCATTATTGCACTATTTAATTTAATCGTAATAAATCGGCCCAATAAGATAGAGTTAATTTTTTAATGAACCTACCTAATCAATGCATAATAACATTTTATTTCACCGTGATAAAGACAGTATAGTTAAATAATTTAAATCTCAAATTTTTCGTTTAGGTACAATCGCTTATCAAATTCGTGACTGTAATTATTAATTATACCTGGTGAATCATAAAAAATTATTGTGGAAAGTAAAAATAACCCAATCGTAATTGAGTACAAGTGATTACGTTGGTGTGATGATGTGTTTCCGATATTTGTGTTAAACGCGACTGTTAAGGCTATTAAATAGACGAAAGTGCTATACTATGCCATCGACTATTCACCTGAAATCGGGTTTACTATTGAGGCGAGTGTCTTAGAATTTAAAAGAAACAATATAAAAGTATATGATTGCTGCTGATAAAATGATTCTGAACCCAATCCGGCTAACCAAAATATGGTCAATGTTTTTTAGAACAAGTGACCTATTGGCTTTTGACCGGTGCGGTTTTCAAGAAATTTTTGAAAATATCGAGGACCTATAACTTACAAAATGTTCAAGGTCCTAATCTAGAGAGAAGTTGCTTGCATTTGTTTGATGTTTTTACTTCCACCAAATGTATTTTCCGGAAAGTATAAAACACTTCATTAATTTTTCGCTAAGAACACGAACAAACTATAAAAATGTGTACTTACTAATATGTACACTGCACATACGACATGTCGAATGATAAAAAAATAAGAAAAACAGAACGAATAAACATTTAAACAATTGTATGGCTGCATAAACGCGCGACCACTGATTATAGTGCATTATTATCTATTGACTATTTAGTTGAACATACCGAAATACAGAGTGGTTAAAAATTATTACTTATCAAAAAACAAATAATATTCTTAAACTCGTGACTTTGGTATGCATACTTTTACAGTTTAAACTATTTGTCGAACCAAGTGTGTACACAATCGTTTAATAATTATATTGGTCGTTTCAATTTATCTCATATTCGGGAAAGTATATATAATTGTTCAATTAGAAGTTAAAAAATAATCTGTATTGGATACCTCTTGCAGTGTGGTGAGCCTTACACGTGGTGGACGGAATTTAATCGCGAAATGCTGTTAAACACGCGTGGAAACAATATAATATTATTCTTCCTATCAGTATTTCACACTTATAATTAGTACCTACATACGTAATCGGACACGTACGACCGTAAGCCTTCATCCGAAAGATAGTAAGTCCGATGGTCCCGGAGTTTATTTTTGAAACATTCCAATAATAATGTGTACCTAATACCTACGTTTTTACCGAGTTCTATGGAATTAAATATTACTTTGTTTCATCGTTACCGCAGATAACCAGATAAGTACCAACATTTATACCTACCTACGAACTTACAACTATATCTAAATGAGTATATGACTCGACGAGTAGATGATTATATGACTACATGAGTTTATGCTTATATAGTTATATGAGTATATGACTGCGTGGGATTAAAATATTTTTCCCTGTTAGCGATTGCTATAATAATTGTTGACCCGACACAATTGCTTAAAAACGAATCGACTTTCATTCAATACGAGGGTGCGAAAAATTATGTCATACGTCAAGTACGTTTATATTAAAATTTCAATTTTTGTATACACTGTACAGTAAATGAACATAATATTATTACGTAGTGTGGTGAAGTTATTTATTAAAATAATAATATTATATGTCCAACGAATGATTGTTATAGTTTTATTTACAATTGGCTCATAATTTGATCGTATCTATTATAAACATTATAGGTGCCTACGTGTATAGTGAATTTGAGGTCAAAGTTTCAAAGTGGCTAAGAATATTATGCTTTGGGAAACACTTGATTCGGAAATACACGTGATAAGAGCTCAACACACACGAGGCGATATCGTCTGTGTATTTGGATTACACAATAGTATACAAGGAGGAACTGTCTCCAACGCCACCGCAGAATGTTCGGACGAAAGAGGTAAGTTTATCGTTCATTGTACTAGAATAATTTTAAAAGTTATTTAAATTAAATCTTATGAATGTTGGCGTTTACATATTTTTTACAATTTAAGTTTCTAGAATATATTTTGCCAAATTTTCATATTGATTGAAATAAATTATGTACACTCGATTTATTAAAATAATCTTAATATATTGTAAATAATAATTTATTTTTATACAATTGTCTGCAAGTTAATTAGATTAGGGTTTATTAGTTATACAACAAATTCAAACAATTTTCTTTTATAGTTTATTGATAAATATGTAAACAATTAATGTTCTAAGTAGGATTTTAAACACTTAAAATATTTATTTCATCTATTCATTAGTATAGTACCTAATAACTAATAATTATTAGTTTGTATTATTTAAAATAATTAATAATAATATTTTTTAAATAAAATAATTCGAATTGTTGATGAATCTAAAATTTATTTTTGGTTAAGCTTAGACTATACATTGATTAATGGTTGTAGACATTAATTGCAATAAAGATTATTTTATTCAGTATTGTTATTAAAATTATTAATTTTGTAGAATAGTAAAAAATAAAGTTTGAACATTCATAACCCATAAAAATCAAAATTATTTATTTTACTTTAATTTATAATATTGTTATTTTTAGGTACATAGTTGTATATTTTATTTGTTTATTATTAAAGTCACATATTCTCAATCGTAATTATCTGTATAGTTTCAAAAACATTTTTAAAAAAGAAAGGAGATTAATAAAATTCTTAGTAATTTATAATTTTAAATGTTGAAATTTCGTATTAAACTTTATTTAAAAACTATACTTTAATATGGTAAAATAAAAATTCAAACTGTTAAATTTAATAAATATTATTTCATATTTCTTCATTAAATATTTAAATATCTCGTTTTATTTTCTTTGTTTTTTTGCTTTAAATTAATTATTATTAAATATATGTAAAGGAAGATTTTTATCAGTGAAATGCTAATTATTTTAGTTCATTTGTAAGTAGTAGGAATAACTCCATCATTTTAAAGCCTAAAAATCAATTTTCCCAATGACAACCTGTACAGTTTTAAATTCTAGAGCAGGATATTATTTTAAAAATGTTTATATTATATATTGTATATTATTCTATAGTTAATAATAGAACACACCATAGACAAATTAATACAATTTACAGGATAATATGATATACCTTACCAACAAATCGGTTTGTGTGAACCCACACATAGCTGGAAGTATAAACTATAAGATAATTTATGGTTTTAAAACGCAATAAATAGTTCTAATAATTAAATAAATTTACAGTATAATTGAGTTATAACGTGCAATTAGAGTATTAAGTGTTTCAATTGAGGAAATAGTAAAATGAGCTACACAAAGTGCAGTTTTGGGTGTGAGAGCTATGAAGCTAATCAATTATATCTAATTTATTTCATAAAAAAATCGTTTAGAACCAACTTTAGTATGTGCTTAACACTTCATTTTCAAACAAAATACGAAAACGTGTGTAATTATAGAGGTACTAATTAGAACAACACAACAATAAAAAAAATTCAAAAGTAGAAATTAATGTTATTTACCTTTTCTGGATCATAATATTAAATGGTATAAACGTAGTAAAGCATAAAAACGATAAGTAATTTGATGTGAATTCATAATCTAGCTAG